CATGCAGCAGAGCAGAGAGACAGAAAGACATGTACATGCATGAACACGTTAAAGGAAACAGAGAAGATGAATAAAAACAACGAGGTGAAGTTTATCTGATGATTTAAATCAGAGTCTTGTTACCTTTTCCTGAGTTTTTGTGGAACTGGTCGGACTTTGTGACGCCACATCCCATGGCTGTTTCTGTCAAAACCAACAAAACAGTCATCAGGTCGCTGAAGCGACGCCTACATCAAGAACATTTGTGTAATAAATCAATTAGATCTGAAGTACGAGTGTGCCCTTTATCATGTAGATGCAGATTAATGAACGAGCCCCAGAAATATCATACATAGTCCAGAAAGACACACAAAATGAAACACAAAAGAAACCGTAAAGGAACAGATGTAATATGATCAGATGTAAAAGGACCACTAAGAGGTAAAAAGGTCACGAAGAGGCGTGAAACAACCAAAGTAGGACACAAAACAACCAAATCAATGCAAACAACAGCAAAGAGACGCAACACGAGACCCACAACAAGGCTGGTGAGACACAAAGGGACCACAGAGACACAAAATGAGACACAACCGTGAAGATACACAAACTGAGACGACAAACAGATGTATAAAGATGTAACATAAAAAATAACCAGAGAGAGACAAAAGAGCAACGAAGAAAAACAAAACCACCAAAACGAGACACGAAACAACCAAAGAGACACAAAATATGACAGAAATCGACTAAAATTAAATGCAAACAATGAGAAGGGCCAGTATTAGACACACAACAACCATGATGAGAAGCAAAAGGGCCACAAAGACGACAACCTGCTAGAACGGGGGTCCTGTACACGTCTGTGGTCTGACAGCCGCCAACACACTGAACTGTACGTAACTGTTGAAGTACCACAAGATTAAGTCTAGAGGTGGATAAGTTACCTTCAAAAGGCCACAACATCTGACATTACATACATTTCCAGACTGAGACCGGGGTTCTCTTCTCTGTGTCTCGGCCTGGTTACTCGCTGAGCAGCAACAGGAGAGCTGGAGGACGTTCAAGTTTGTGCCCTTTTAATCTCGTTATCTTCTGGTTCACTTCTAACTTCTATGATTGGCCTCAATCATGCAGCACACGACTATTTTTGTCCGAATTCTACGAAAGCTTAGGGTGAAGAATCGATGAAACCCGGAAACATTTTCACAGCCTGAAGCCGCTTTGATGAAACGAATGTCTTTCAACCAGACATTTCTAAAATGTCATTCTGGTTAACGTCAGCAAATGACGCAGATATCAAAGTTCACCATCTGAAAATCAGCACTGACTGTTTAGTCTGACTTGCAAACTGTGCTGCAGGACAAACCTGACATTTGAGTGGACAACAAGAAACTTTAAAAGTAATTGAGTTCAGAAAAGGAGCAATTTGACACACATACTGTCTTATTTCCAGCCTGCGTCGTTCTACTGGGTTTATTCAACCGCTACATAACTACAAAGAGTCACTTACGTGGTCCCCTTCTTTATCCAGTCACCACGTCCCAGGTTATTCGGCTGTCGGCTCGCGGTTTCAGTGAGTATTCAAGCAGCCATTTGCCCTGGTGCATCCTCCGCCGTTCAGCCAGGATCAGGTCAGGAGCTGCAGGATGTCGATCAGACCGCTCATTGCAGGTGGATGAATGACAGCAGCAGCCACTGACTCACCACAGAGGCCTCATGTACGAAGCCGTCCGCTCTGAGCAGCTCCCGGTGACTGAGCTGAAGCTGCTTTAGTCTTTAGTCCCTCGGTGTGATCGCATAATCAAAGCACCGAGCCACAAGTGGATTACTTGAGCTAATGACTTGATGCGACTAGACGGGTCTTTATATAGGAAGATGGCAAAGTGCGGAGGTAAGCGTGGGTGGCGAGAGGCAGGCCAGCGTCTGTTTTTGATCTTGTTTTTGATTACAGGAGTCCAAGTTGGTGCTTACATGTGAGCTCATGTGATTGTAGTGGAGCAAAACACAATCACGTCTTCTGAACAAGTCAGATCTTGACGTGAGACTTCTGAGACCTGCTGGTGGTACCTCCAGGCTTCACTGGAGCAGGAGGAGGCCCGGCTGAAAGAAAAGCACAAAACCCTCCCCGAGAAACACATTCTAATGCTCTCTATCATCTAATTGGGTTTGATTGTGATTCTCTTTTTCTTATTTTCACAATCAATTATTTAATTCAACACAAATAGTTTGTCCCGAGGGTGGACTCTATAAAGACTACACACACAAAAACACACTTAGGACTCAGTTTCACTTGTTGTTAGTCTTTGGGCAATAATTGATCCTATAGCCTGGATACAAACACACCTTTTTCATATTGGAAATATAGAAGCAAACTAGAACAGCGGTCGTGACCTGCAGGGGGGATTGCAGCATGATTTAGGAGGGTTAAAAGTAGTACGCTAAAATTATATATTTTCAAAAAGAAAACCTAATTGTGCAACAAACAGTTCCTCTGCTAACATTTGTTCTTCTGTTTGAAGGAGTCACAGGCCTCCTGTTGGGAACCACTGACCCACTAATCAGTGACTCCATAAAATGTGAAAATCGGATGATGAATGAACTTTACAAAATTACCAAAGTCTAAAATTCCCAGATCCTAGATATGAACTGACACGTAATAGCAAGCACACGCTGCCTTTGATAAGCTGTAACCAGTGAATCAGGCTTACTGGTGACCGACCTGTCAACCATTAGCTCAGATGACATGTGACCGTGAGAAATGAACTGGGCGCTAATTTCACATTAAAACACACATTTAGGGATATCGCTTTGCAACAGTTTGGATATATACTGTGAGGAATAATGTAATGTCCTGCTGGATATCATGAAATTTAAAATCTACGTGAAAGGTTTTAACTTGTGAAAAGTGTTGCTTTATGAACGCACCTGAACGCCGCCGCTCTTGAACGCGTCCCGGACGGAACCTGATGTAAACACAAGGACGCGCTGGGTGAGTGAGCGGCTAGCTAGCATGCTAATGCTGCGTTTTAACTGCTACAACCGGATGTCCGCTTGTTTACATGTATGAGTCTTGATGTTTAACTTTATAATACTTTGGATAAATGTGGCACAAGGCATTTCGTCACACTTGTCGGACAGCATAAATGCGTTTCAGGAAGGAGGGAGTCAGAAACAGAAGCGAAAGACAGATTCACTGTGAGAGGTCAGCTAGCTGCTAAGTTACCGTTGGTAGTTAAACAGTTTAGTAGGTTAACCCAAAGATGTCTCCTACTACAGAAATGCAACTAGTCACATTTTAGTTAAGGTCCTAGTTCAGGTTTAAACTTCAGGGCCATTATCTACGTACCAACTTGTACTACTTCCCTTGTGTTTTTTTATTCTGACTGACCACATGAAGTCCTGGTTGGAGGAACAACCGTCATGTGTTGAGTCAGACTGATAATACAAACAGTAAACTCATATTTTACAGCATGTAAAACGTGGAACCTTGAATTAGTTGTTATTCCATGAAGACAAAAGTAATGACACGTTTCTATCTTTTGCTTTTTAGATATTGGGACTGCCACTACACTGGGATCACTGATGCACTTATCAAGAGTAAGTCTGAAACAGCATTATAATGTTCCTGCTGAACACAATGAAAGCATGCTGACATTAACTAATTCTCTTCTAATGTTGGGATTTATACATTTTGAAATGTCAGAGGTTAATGTTTGAGATATCCCCTCATTGCTTGGATAATACAGCAAAACTGGGAGACTGGATGAAGCAAAAAATCTATATAGTTTTTGTTTTGTTTGTATGTGTAATATAGCAGAACATATATAACACAATTTAGTTATTTTGATGTAGAAAAAAATACTTTTCCCATCATTTTGGCATGGCAGCTGGCTCTAAACCCTACAGTACCCGTGCTGTAAAACTGTCAAAACATTTTCTTCTTTTAAATGTGTAAATTCTCCACATTCTGTCACTTATTGTTACACTACGTGTCCTGATGTTGTAGGTTTTTGCTGTTATTCTGTTCTGGTATTATAATATTTACGCAGTCAAAATCAGAATTTTGGCAAATCAAGTTTATTTATTCAGCAGATTGTAAAACAAATGAAGTCGACCAAAGGCTGTGCGTGTTGTCAGACTGGCAGCAAAAAAATGTGCAAACATCAAAACAATATAAAACTTTTAAAGCGCAATTAGCAAAAAAAAAAAAATCAAATTATATATATAAAAAAATACCTCAACAGGCAAGGGAGGATAGGAGCTCAGATCAATTTCTAAAATAACAATAAATATGAAATAAGGATTCAAGGTCTGTTATTGGTCACAAAGACAGTTATACCTGGTGTAAGGTGCCGTGAAATGCGTTGTGCACCTGTTCCACATTGAAACAATAATAAGATATATAAGAATGAGGAATAAAACACACAAGAAATATAGATAGATAGATAGATAGATAGATAGCAGAAATAAATTAATCAGATTTTTAAGCAGTGCAAAAAGGGAATAAACATATAAAGAAAGTAATAATATGATTATGTACATGTGTGTGTATGTGTGTGCGTATATATATATATATACACACACACATATATATATAGAACCACGAAGAGCAGTCCACTATAAACTGAAAGTATTTCTTTGGTCACAATTATTCTTTTACAAGGACTGTTGAAGTTTCTACGGATATAAACTTGTGTGTATTTGCACGTTGTGACTGTTTTGATGCAGCTTTAGAAATCAAGCAGGGACGCCCTCTCGTAGTCCCGCCCACTTCGCATTTCTATTGGCCATCTCTTGGGGGCTCGACGGGTTCTTGGCTCTGATTGGACGACTTCGTGTCAGTCGAACCTGACAGCACTGTTTACATTTTTAGACAGCGCGCCCGGGGAGGGACGGAGACACGGAGATGGAGCAGAGCGGGGCCGTTGTAGAAAATAAGGGGTCGAGACAAACTAATCAAGGTCGGAGAAGAAGCTACGACGCTGCTTTCAAAATGATGGCGATCAGTGAGGCGGAGTCGTCCAACAACTGTCAGGCGGCCAAGAAGTACGGTGTGACCGAGTGTCACGTTAGAAAGTGGCGAGCGCAGAAGGACGATCTGAGCAGCGCTAGCAGCGAGAGGAAAGCTTTCCGCGGGCCCAAAGCCGGTCGCTTCCAGGAGCTGGAGAAGAGCGTGTGTGAGTATGTGGCTCAGAGGCGCGCGGAGGGAGTACAAGTGACCAGAGCCGACATCCAGACCAAAGCTCTGGAGGTCGCCGAGCAGCTGGACATTTCGAGGAGCCGGTTCGAAGCGAGCGTCGGCTGGTGCCAGAGGATGATGCGCCGGAACGGACTGTCCTCAAAATGTAAGTCCCGTGCTTTTCCTATCATGTGTTTTTACCTGAAATGAAGAATAATATGCAGGACTTTGCTTTTCTTCCTTCTACCATCATATACTTCCATGTAGATGTGGCTAACTGTGTAGCTAGCTGTTAGCATCATGGCGTTCAGTCTACTGTGTAGCTAGCTTGTAGCATCCTTAACCCTGGTACTGTGTAGCTAGCTGTTAGCATCATAGCGCTGTCTACTGTGTAGCTAGCTGTTAGCATCATAGCGCTCAGTCTACTGTGTGGCTAGCTTTTAGCATCCTTAACCCTGCCTACTGTGTAGCTAGCTGTTAGCATCATAGCGCTCAGTCTACTGTGTAGCTAGCTGTTAGCATCATAGCGCTCAGTCTACTGTGTAGCTAGCTGTTAGCATCATAGCGCTCAGTCTACTGTGTAGCTAGCTGTTAGCATCATTAGCGCTGTCTACTGTGTACCTAGCTGTTAGCATCATTAGCGCTCCGTGTAGCCAGCAGCTAACGGACGGTTATTTATGTACCGAGTCGCCCGGTGGTTACAGTAGAGTTGACTCGGTGCAAACACGGAGGTGCTTGAATTCATAAGGACACTTTATTTCGCATTACAGCGTGATTTCTGTGTTATTCACCGCTTCACGAATACCGCCATCTTGGATTTAGACTCGCCCGTGACGTAGACTCAGGATGCATTGTGGGAAAAGTAAAATACAAGCGATGATATAAATAATGGATATTTAATAATGCACTGAATACAATACAGGGTTGTGATTAATGCAGAGTTTATTATTACATTAATGTGCAGTTACATATAAATAATAAATGTACTGAGAGATATTGGGAGACTAGTTTGTTTAGGTGTTCCTAAGTTCTCCAGTGGAACACAACTGGACTCTGTTTGGTTCTTGAAGATGTTTCAGCTTTCAATCTGCCCTGTAGGTGAAGATCAGTAGGTTAGGAGGGGGTTTCGTTTTAGTTGGAGATAGATGACAAGCTGCACACAAAGCTCTGAGCACATTATTTCATTTATCTATTTTTTTCTATACTCTGTTCTTCCTGTAAGAAGAAATTCTCTTTTTGCACATCCCAGCTTGTTAGGAAGCCTCTGGGCCGCCACTGCCCCACTGATGTGGCAGTGAGCTTCAGTTTGTTCCCAAAAAAGAGCAAATTCTAGCTTGAGAATTAGTCTTTTTCCTGTGA